GTCAAGGATTCTGAAGCTTCATCTGACATACTTTGGCATGTTGCAAAGAGGGATTGGTCCTTGGAGAGGGACATCATGTTTGGGAGAGTGGAGGTATGGCGCAGGAGAGGAAGACCCCAATAAGATGGATTGATTCTGTGAGTGGAGTGGTGGGAATGAATGTATTTGAGATGGCGAGGTTGGCACGGGATAGAATGGCGTTTAGGGCTCTTGTACATAGGATTGCTATGAGTTGCAAGCAACTTGATGGCACACAACAACAAGAGCAATTATATCATTTTAATATCATAATAATTTTTGGAGTTGGACTCACTGTCACTTTTATTTTACAGAAGGTGAAAATATGGCCAGAAGAAGTTAGGCTAAAACCAATGAATGCTAATGTTAAGTGCATGTACATTTTTACAGTATCAAACCTCTAATCTCAATTCTATGTCTTTCCCTTAGAATTGTCTTTACTGGTTGTACATGTGTCACAGTTAAAATTATTTTGACATATCTACCATATATACATAATTTAAATAGTTGGTAATTACTTTATATCTTAGATGTGAACAAGCTTGCTTGTTTATAGAGTGCTCTTGTTAGTACAGCACTTGTTTACTAGTCTATTTTACTAGGGTACCTTGGGTTGCTTTGATGCTGAAATCTGTGCTACTGGTGTTTCAAATGCCAGAAGGATCTCTCATGATGAGCTCACTTCAGCAGAGTAGGAAGCAGGAATAGCTATCCATTTCTGAAATAAGAGGCCTCTGAACAATAGAGTATTAATGGTAGATATGTTATTAGAGGTAGAGCCCAGATTTGAAGTCACTCAGGATGAGGAGAAACAACTATAAGCACCCTTTAATAAATGAGCCTCATTGAATCAGAAAATCAAATGATAGCTTATGCCTGGGATTAAAAATATGAGAAAATGAGAAATTAGGTTACATTCATAGTTATAAGGACATTTTGTGTTTTATTGACTTTGCAAAGGCTTTTGACTGTGTGGATCATAACAAACTGGAGCTAATATTGAGAAGAACAAGAATCCCGGGACTTTTAATTATGCTCATACAAAATTTATACTTAGACAAAGAAATTATCGTAAGAATAAAGTAAGGGAACACTACTCAGAGTAAAATTAAGAAAGGTGTGTGTGTGTGTTTGTGTGTGTGTGTGTGTGTGTGCATGCGCGCGCTCGTGTGTGTGTAAGGGTGGTATCTTTTCTCCGTATCTACACAGTCTATATGATGCACAAATTAGTCAAACTAACCTCTGTGAAGAATGTGACCTTGGGATCAAAGGAAGACTCATCAATAATCTATATTGTGTAGATGACACATTCTTGCTAGTTGAAAGTGAGGAGGACTTAAATGCTTGCCACAGAAAATAACAGAATGCAGCCTTCAATTTGCATTGCATCTCAACATCAATTAAAAAATATTCTTAAGACTGGATTGCTAGGCAACATGATAGATGGAGAAAAGATTGAAACTGTTAATTATTTCCTCTTACTTGGATCGACAATAAACACCATTGGCACCAGGAGTCTGGAGATCAGGACACCTATTGCACTAAGGAAGTAAACAGTCAGGGACCTCTCCAAATCTTTGAGGGTAATGATGCCAGTTCGAGGTCTAAGGCGTGCCTGAGTCCATCACCACCACAATGATAATGATGTCAGTTTGAGGACTAAGATGTACCTGATTCAGGCTCTGGGTTTTGCTGTGTTTGGTGGTGGTGGTTTTTTGCTTGTTTGTTTTTTGTTGTTTTTTTTAATTACTTGCTATACTGCTGAGGGCTGGACAATGAATAAGGATGACAGAGGAAGAACTGATGCCTTCAAGCTGTGGCTTGAAGAATAGAACAGTACTAAATATTCCACGGGCTGCCAAAAGAGTAAACAGGTATTTCATGGAGAAGGTGTTGTGAGAGTGCACGTTAGAAACAAAGGTGATAAAGCTTCATCTCACAAACTTTGGGCATGTTGTTAGGAGGAGCTATTCTCTGGAGAGGGGCATATTCTTGGAAAAGTTGAGTATCAGCAAAAGAAAGGAAAACCATCAAGCGGAGGGATTGACATAGTTACTGTAGCAATGGGCTCAAGTGCCTCAGAGGTGATGAGAATGGCACACAGGATAGGACAGAGTTCAGATCTGTTGTTCATAGCATCACTATTGAGTCACATTTGACTAAATAGCACCTGTTAACAAAAAAAAAAATCATCCTAAAGTACATGTGAGGGATAGGATATTATGCACCTGTAGGAAGGATACACCTATAAGGAAGATCTGTTAATAGGACTATAACTCAAAAATATGCACCAACAACTAAAGCCTAAGAGAAGGAAATCGAGGATTTCTACCAACTTTCGCAGTCTAAAATTGATCAAACATGCAATCCAGATACATTAATAATTATTGGAGACTGGAATGCAGAAGTTGGACACAGGAATGGTAGTTGGAAAGTATGGTCTTGGTAACAGAAATGAGGCTGAAGATAGATGATTGAATTTTGCACAGTCAATTATTTATTCCTCACAAAAACCTCTAAAAACCCCCACAAATGTAGATTTTATACATAGACTTTACCTGACGGACTGCACAGGAATCAAATGGATTACATCTGTGGAAGGAATCGTTGGAGAAGCTCAATATCAACAGTCAGAACCAGACCATGTGCCAACTGTGCAAAGGATCATCAATCACTCAAGTGCAAGTTCAAACTGAAGCTGAAGAAAAAGAAAACAAGTTCATATGAACTGAAATATGACTTTGAGTCTATCCCACCTGAATTTGTAAATCCGGTCTGAGACATTGAACACAAATAATCAAAGACCAGAGTAGTTGGATGACATCAAGGATATCTCTCATGAAGAGAGTAAAAGGTAATTACAAAGACATGACAGAAAGAAAAAAACCAACACGGAAGTCCGAGGAGACTATTATAATTGCATTAGCGCTTCAAGAAGCCAAAACAAGGGCAAGAGACACCAAAGGAAAAGAGAAAGTGCAGTAAGTGCTCTTCTTGGAGAAACTTCATCTCATGAACTTTGGGCATGTTGTTAGGAGAAAATATTCCTCAGAGACCTCATGCTTGGAAAGGTGGAGGGGTCTGCTGAAGAGAGGAAGATGCTGAATGAGACGGAAGGACACGGTGACTGCAGCCCTGGGCTCAACGTGTCAGAGGTGATGAGGATGGCACAGGATAGGGTCAGGTTCAGATCTGTTGTTCTTAGCGTTGCTCTGAGTCATAGTTGACTAAAGAATTTAACAACAGAGTATTGAGGGTACCAAGGACTGCTAGGAAAACAAACAGATTCATCCTGGAAAGGGTCAAACCGGGTGGCTCCTTGGAGGCAAGGATTCTGAGGCTCCGTCTAACGTACTTTGGACATGTTGTGAGGAGAGACCGGTTCTTGGAGAGGGACATCATGCTTGGGAGGGTGGAGGGACTACGCAGGAGGGGAAGGCCCTCTATGAGGTGGATTGATTCAGTGACTGGGGTAATTGGGATGGGTGTATAGGAGATGGTGTGAATGGCACAGGACAGAGTAGAGTTTAGGGCTGTTGTACATATGGTCAGTGAGTTGCAAGCTACTCGATGGCACATAACAACATACATACAGGAATCTCTGGTGGCTTACTGGTGAGGAGTTGAAATGCCAACCTAACGGCAGCCAATTTGAATTAGTCAGCTGTCATGTTGAAAAAAGATGGGGAATCTCTTCCCCATAGGATTACTGCCTTTGAAAACTTCCTCGAGGGTTAGGAGTCAGTTTCAAGTTGATGACACAAAATAACCACAACAACTATATGTATACTTCTCAATAACATCATTATTATCACAAACATAGAGTTTTGAATAGTAAATTATAATTTAAAATTTATTTCAGTTCAATTTTATTTCATTATAGTTAAGACAATGGAAAATACATATGCCTGGGTCCTTAGCATAGTTTTGTCAGTAGATGCTATATACATAAATAACTCAACCTCTTTTGCCTTGTAAGTTAAATACAGGTATGAAGACATCAACCTCACATACAGATTGAGAAGGGTATATTCATCTAAAACTTCAAGAGTAGAGTCTAGCATGAGAGTGATACAAGTGTTTCAGTAGAATCAAGAAATCTGCACTGACAATTTATATCATAAAATTAAACTTTCTTTCAATAGCACTTTAATTTTTCTTTTGAGTAAAATGTGACTATTTACACATCATATTAGTTTTTTCAGAAATCACTGATAGGCATCGATTACCATTGATTGTTGCAATTATATTTTTACCATGTTAAAGTAAACCCTTATTGTATACCTTCACCAGCTTCTCTACTTAGGTTTTCCCCCTTTTCTCCCCCTCCCCTCTATCCTGTTTAATCTGCATTATGACGAGTGAAATATCTCGGCCACAAAAGGAAGAACAACGTATAAAATCACTGTTATAAAAAAACAAAGAACGGTTGAGACAAGAGGAACAGGAGCTGGAGTGTAGGAAAAGAATGGATAGATAAATGCTGTACTTGAATAGGTGAAGGGAAATTCAATCTGAAATGAATCGATAATCAGACATTATGTGTATTGCAATTAATAGTCTGGAATAGTTATGACGTTTTGGATAACTCTATAGCTCAATCTAAAAATTTGTAAAATTTAAAAGTCGAAGAAATGATCAATACAAACTTTAAGCTATTGTAAAGTTGTAGGTCATTTTTGTAATAATTTTAGAGTCAAAACCATGGAGAATCTTGAAATATGTTTTGCTAAAGTGAACAGTATTTTTATATTTCAGATCACTGCAATTCCTTTTCAATTTTTTCCCACTCTTCTTTTATTTCTTATTGCCTCAGAGAAACTCTTGTTCTCAAATCAATGGACAACAGTACAGAAGTGGTCCGGTTCATCCTACTAGGATTAACCAACGCCCCTGATCTGCAGATTCCTCTCTTTATCTTGTTCACTCTCATTTACCTTCTCACTTTGTTTGGAAACGTGGGGATGGTCATGTTGATCCTGCTGGACCCTCAACTCCACACCCCGATGTACTTTTTCCTCAGTAACCTCTCTCTGGTGGATTTTGGTTACTCCACAGCTATCATTCCAAAGGTCATAGATGGATTTCTCACGGGAGACCAAGAACTCACCTACAGTGGCTGTGCTGCTCAAATGTTCTTTTTTGCAACCTTTGCCACTGCAGAAAATTACTTGTTGGCTTCCATGGCTTATGACCGCTACGCAGCCGTGTGCAAACCCCTACACTACACAACTGTTATGACAAGAAGAATGTGTGCATATCTGGCTATAGGTTCCTATTTTCTTAGTCTCCTAAATGCCTCCATCCACACTGGGGACACATTCAGTCTCTCCTTCTGTAAGTCCAATGTGGTCCATCACTTTTTCTGTGATGTTCCAGCCGTCATGGTTCTTTCTTGCTCTGACAGACATGTCAGTGAGATGGTTCTTGTGTATGCATCCAGCTTCAATGTCTTTTTTGCTCTTCTGGTTATCTTCGTTTCGTACCTTTTCATATTTCTTGCTATCTTAAAGATGCGAACAGCTGGGGGATACGGGAAAGCTTTATCCACCTGTGCTGCTCACCTCACTGCTGTCTTCATCTTCTACGGGACAGTCATCTTCATGTACCTGCAACCCAGCTCCAGCCACTCCATGGACACGGACAAAATGGCATCTGTGTTCTACACAATGGTCATCCCCATGCTCAACCCTCTGGTCTACAGTCTGAGGAACAAGCATGTCAAATGCGCATTCAGGAAAGTTGCCGAGAAAGCAAAATTATCTTTGGCTTAAACTCATAACATTGTAGGATTCAGTTCTGCTTATTTTCATTCCTCTTTTATACTTCCTATATTATTGTTGCTGTTCCTATGTACCGTCCAGCCGGAACTAACTCATGGTTGACCCTTCCGTGGATTTGGAGATGCTGTAAATTGCACAGGAGCTTGTGCATCATTCTGCCATGAAGCAGCTGGTGGATTTGAACTGCCTTCCTTTGAGTTGGCAGCACAATTCCTTACCACAAGACCACCAGGAGTCTATTTCATAATCCACAGTATATAAGTTTATATACACACACATGTAAATATACATGCACATATACATATATACACCACCATATAAAAAAGAAGTGTACTATTTGAATTACAATAAAATTAACACAGGATTACATTGCTTTGTTTTTAAACATTTGCTAATGACATTTGTTTCATACCATTTTTACCTAGCAATGTTCTTTACGTGCATATGCAGGTTTAAGCATACATGTCCCTGTTACTGCAGCTAGTAGCACCGGGTGTGTAGACTCATAGGGACCTTATGCACAGAATAAAAGCGGTGCCCGGTGCTGCACTGGCTGCTAGCAATGCTGATCCCCTGTGGCAGCCACCGTGTCAACACATCTTGTTGAAGGACTTTCTTTTTGTTGACCATAATTTCTTTGTTCAGAAACTAGTTCATAACATATTCTAATCTCCTTAGACAAAGCGTATCTTCATTTCTTTTTCTTTTTTTTTTTTTTTGGTCTCAACATTTCAAAGGCTTGGGTGGAGTTTTTTGTTTATTTACTTTTAGGTTTAATGCATAGGGACTATTTGTAGTAGAAAAATCAATATTCCATGATTTGGTACCTGCTGTGAAGAATCTTTTTTATTTTATTTTTTAAAATTTATTATTAATGCCAATGAAAATTTACAGAGACTTTGGATTTTCATTCATTCATTGTTATACTTTTCTCCCCTCCCAATCCCCCCCTCCCCACATTACACTACTCTCTTGGAAAAGTAAAAGAAAAATTCTTTCATTGTTTTACAAACCCTCCCCCAAGGTCCACTGCACTATGCAGCTTTCGCTCTAGACTCCTGTCATGACAAAAATACCTAATCACATATCCCTTTTAAACAGTTTTCTCCCTCATATGTTTCAATACAGTATACATTATTGAACCCATCTTTCTCAGTGTCCCCCCCAATCCCGAGGTCAGTCCTGTTTTACAACAGTGGCAGTCTGCTGTATTTATCCTTTTGTGACTGAGATACTTCACTCAGCATAATGTCCTCCAGGGTCACCCATTTTGAATAAAATTGTATGAGTTCTGCAGCATAGTATTCTGTTGTGTGAATATACCACAGCTTCTCTATCCATTCGTTTGTTGATGGGCACTTAGGTTGTTTCCGACTCTTGCTATTGTGAACAAAGCCACAATAAACATGGGTGTGCATATATTTGCTTGGGTGTCAGTTATGGTCTCTTTGGGGCTGTATCTTCATTTCTAAGGAAGATTCTGCTTGTAGCTCTGCCACATAGAGTTGATACTTTTACTGAAAGTCCATGATATTTTTGTGCTCCCTTTGGCATCATGTATACTAAAATTGGAATGATACGGAGAAGATCAGCATGGCCCCTGCGCAAGGATGACTTGTAAATTCTTGAAGTGTTCCATATTTTTAAGTTGTGCTACCAAGTCAAAGGTGGGTGATTTTAATCTGCAGCCCTCAGGTACGGTTTAATTGTTTTCGGTCAAACATTCTTCTAAGTGGTATAGCACTGGTCTGTCCATTTGCTGTACAGAGGTAACTCGTGGTTGCTGTGATGCTAAATACAGTGACACTGATGTGTCAAATGTAATAATGGTTACCCATGGTGGACAGTGTTTGGTGGAGCTCCACAATTCAAACAAGCTTGGAAGCAGGAGTGGCATCCACTTCAGAAATAGCTTGCCTCCAGAAATTCTATGAACTTGGAGAAATGATGAAAGTTATACAAGTGTTCAGGTCTTTCATCCATAGGGTCGTTATGAGTCGTCTATAACTCGGTGGCGTGTAACAACAACAACAACAACATGGTATTTTTAACATTCTTCATCAACACTTTACTCCAAAGGAATAAATCACTCTTATTTTTTATTATCCATTGCCCTGCTGTTTTTGGATGATGTGGCAATAAAAACTACCATGTCATGGGGTTCTTGCAACATAGTCTTCACAGCGAAAGTTTGCTTTTTAGCACTTAAAAAAAAGAGTACTTATTACTAATTCTATGAGGACTTAGAATGATGGAATTACTATGATTAATGATAATTAACTACATAAAGCACAAAGTAGATGAATGAGTGTAAAAACATAATGTATATGAATGATTGTATGAAAACCAATAAAAATCATGTGTGTGTGTGTGTGTGTGTGTGTATGTGTGTGTGTGTGTGTGGTGTGTGTATGTGTGTGTGTATGTGTGTGGGTGTACTTCTGTAACAGATATTCCAAATGAAACACTCTGATTGTTTAATTTATTGACTGTTACTTCAGTGGGCACTGATTACTAATCTAAGTAAAATAAAAGCTACTAAGGACGACAATATTTTCTTCATTTATCAGGATATTGTATCTGGGCTTAGTTTTGATGGTGTTGTATTATATTGAGGCATAATGTATAATGAAATATAGAGTTCTTGATTTTCAGCAAGTATTTCAAGTCTTCTTCTTTCAGTAAACAAAAGTAGGTTGTTAATGATTGAACTTCTTAGATTATTTCCTCAGTGCACAAAATGAGTATGTATGAGAAATAGACTCCATGTTGACATGGACTTTTTCTTGATTTTAAATTATGCAAATCCCTTTACTTTCTTTGAAAAATTGTCATGACTAATGTACAGGTTCCTCACGGGCATAAATGAGGTTCTGGAAATCTTGGGCTTTTTACAATATTATCCATAATTTGATATGATGCATTTATATAGTCAGTAAAACCTAGGTAAGCATCTTTATGTTCTGTTCTTCCAGCTCAGATCCATTTAACATCAACAATCATATCTTCATGTCACACTGTCTTCTGAACATGATTACGAATTTCTAGCAGTTCCCAGTTGATGTACTGTTGCACTTGTTTTTTAACTGCTTCAACAACATTTTTCTTGCATGTGATATTAATAATTTTGCTTGATCATTTCTGTGTTGTGTTTAACTTTTTAAAATAACTATTATAATGGGATTGTCGTTGTTAAGTGCTGTTGAATTGTAAGCACCTCATAGTGACCCTATGAATAAAAAATCTGAACATTTGGATAACTTTTATCCTTTCTCCAGGTTCATAGGGTTTCTGGAGTATTATAATTATTACTGTATATAAATGACACATTAATAACAAAATTGAAAAGGAAACAAAAAGAAATGGGAAAAAATAAATGTGTGTGTATGCTAAACATATCCAGTTAAGTAATCAGAGGAAGTATAATTGCTTTTTCTTAGGAAGATGAGATGAGAAGTCATAATTATCCTCCCAAGGGACATTCTCTGATTTCTAGGTCCTTATAACTCCCACTGGTTTCCATACATTAACTTCTGAAACTGCAATATCACCCCAGCTGACACTAACTGGGGCACTAGGATATGTGCACACAGCTTTTGGTAATCTTTTTACCACATCCAGGGAAATACCATCAAAGAAAACTTATATGGAATTACTTGAACATCATGACTCTTTCTCAATTTAGTTCATAAACCTTAAGCGTTAGCTCCTCACAGCTACAATGGTGTAAATAATATAGAAAACATTTATTTGTTTATATTACAAACAAGGAAGTGGTAATGACAGCAAACAACAACAAAGCAAACATTTCAAGGCAGAAAAATACATGGGGAATGGAGGACTGCAAACCAGGTTCACAGCAGAATTTTAATTTCTATCTCCATCTTTCTTAGGGATCTTGGAACCTTTCCATCAGTACCTGAAGTAGAAATTCTCTGATAATATTTATACATCACTCCACTGTCCACTTTCTCACTTCAAACTCGAAAAATCAGATTTCTCTTTGTCTTTTTAAACAGGAATAAAGGTAAGCTTAATATTTCACATGCAATATTGGTGAGAAGAGTAATTTATATCAAAGCTGTTGGGAAATTAGATATGAGTTCTTTAATTTCAGAAGAAGATATTTGAAACATATTTCTCAAACAGTAGGTTATGGTTGGATTATAAACGACAAAATTTCTGTCAAAATGAAGTTTAGTACTGTTTAACTAAAGTTATAATAAACTATCCTGTTGTTATCCCAGTGATCTTATGCAGTGACTGGCGTATCCCAATCGGCCTAATGTCTTCAGACTCACCTATGTTGTATAATGGTTTATGAGTTTATTGTTTTTCAATTTTGTGCAATAGTTTATTATGTGACTGTACCATATCTTCTCCATCCATTTCTTTATTGATGGGTGTTTGGGCTGCTTCCACCTCTTTGCTACGGTGAATAATGCTGCAACAAACAGGGGTGTGCATACATCTGTTTGTGTCACAGCTCTGACCGTTGTTTTAACAATAAGATGGAAGCAGGTAGGGGGAAACAGGAAAAGAATGGAAAGATAATTAGCACTGCCTTGCGATAGGGGAAGGGGAAGATAACCTGAAAAGAATGGACAATTAGACATTATGTGTAGGACCATTGACAATACGGAACAGGACAAACATTACAAAGCCACAATGTCAGCCTAGAGACTAGGCACACCTAATCCAGGCCACAGTCTTCCCAATTACTTGCTATGAATCAGAGCCGGACAATGACTAAGGATGACAGAAGAATCTATGCTTTTGAGTTGTGATGCTAGAGAAGAGTCTTGAACATACCATGGACTGCCAAGAAAACATATAGGTCTGTCTTGGAGAAGGTGAAACCAAATCTCCCCATGGAAGTGAGGATTTTGGAACTTTGTCTCACATACTTTGGGCACGTGGCCAGGAGAGATCAGTCCTTGGTGAAGGACATCATTCTTGGAAGGGTGGAGGGACAGCGCAGGAGAGAAAGA